CTCTCGCCCAGCTCCCCCACCCCCCAATCTCTTCTGAAACAAACACCAGGCAGCAGTTTCACCCTGGTCCTTTACGTGATGTCCAGCGCCTTTTGGCCTTAAGGTCCAAAACTGGTCTGGGAACCCCAATGAGTCTGCAGGTGCAATAAGCACACTGCCCGGAATGTCTACTGGTGACAGTAAGTGGATCAGCTGTTTGACGCATGTGGGACACAGTTCCGCATTTTTCGGCTACCTTCTGTCTGCACAAAAGGTCCTTCAGGGCTGTGCAATTGAAAAAGTGATGATAACAGTGATAATAAATGATTCACTCCATTTAAGTCAGTTTTGCTCATCAAAAGCTGTTTTTGCTGTCAAGATAAATCAGACACACAAAAAAATAAAAAAATCAGAGAGACTGAATGCATCATTCCAACTTCATTATTGCCTTACTGTGCTATAGAAAGAATAATGCAGCCTTTAGGTTTTTTTTTTTTTCATAATCATGTAGATCTTACCACTTCACAACTCTTATCAGCTTCTGATTTCTTGCAGAAGAAAGGCCACTCCAAAGCATGATGGTGCCACCACTGTGTTCTACTGAGGGGTTGGTGTGATCAGGATGGATACAGACTGTGAGATTATTTTTTTATTTCTGGGGTGGGAGAGGAAAGGTCCTGGTTGGATAAAAGGAACGTTGCAGAACTGAACATGCCATCATCATGGTGAAACATGTTGGTGGATTCATCATGCTTAGGGACTGTGCTTCAGAAACGACAGTAAGCTGACAAGAGACGATGGTAAAAAGGGCTGAAGTCACATGCATGTTAATGATGGAAAATACTTGAAACTAGGTCGGAGGTTAGGCATGATGACTTCCATTGTAAAATATAAACCCAAATCATATTTCAAAAGACTTAATTTGTAATGGTATTTTAAAAAAGAGTAGATTTACAAAGTATTTAAACAGAAAACTGCTCTGCTGGGCCTTCTGATATCAGTTTACACAGAGGATCAGTGCTTGTGACTAGAGATCCTCTTTAAGACCACAAGGACCCCGTCAATGGCTTAAAAGGCATCAAACTCCATCCCTACAAGCATTGTCCTGGGCCATGGACTTGGGAGGATGATTGTCATGCAAAAGGAAAACAGCAGGAGAGATAGCAGACTTAAGGCTGGGTTGGAGGGAGAGAGAAAAGGGGGACTACAGAGCTCTCATCTAGAGACCAAGCGAGGGGGGGCTGAATAGTTCAGTACAGTGAGGTGGGGATGTGTGTGGGGAGGGTGAGTATTTAGCCAGAAACCCCCCACAGATGTCTCAGATCTTGTCTTTTTGTGTGTTTTAGGTGACCTGAGCTTGCAGGACTGATCTGGGCTCAAATGGAGGAGCGGGGAAAGTGAGGGATGAAAAAGAAAAGCGTGGGGACACTGATAGAGTAGATGTATTGACCTATTTCCTCTCCTGCCCCTTTTTATTTAATGACACATCAAACACCCTGACTATTTTATTAATGTTGGAGTTCCAGAGTTTTAAACCCATGAAACTACCTCTGAAAATCTGGAAGTTACAAAAGTTTCACCTTTTCTCAGCTTTCTGACATAAAGCTATACTAAAGTTCTTAAATGTATTCCTCTTGTTACCACAGAGTGAAGAGAACGTTCACCTCTGTTTCCCATTTTGTGCAGTGAGAGAAATAGCCTGGTTTATATCTACCCCACTGTACCTCAAATAAGATTATTGTTTTTAGATGTCATTTTAGAAGTGTTATTTAAGCAAAACAGATAATTTAATTAAAGTTGAGCTTTAAACACATCTAAAGGTTTAACTTTATTTCAGAAACTCTTGTATAAATTGGAAATTGAGGCAAAGATTCCCAGCTTTGAGTTTGCTGCTGATCTGATAAAATACCAACACCTGGATTCCTGGAATCTGTCCCTCCTGTTGTGAAACACAGTCATCCCCCACAAACAAGTCTGATGGCTTTCTGATTTTCCTCCTTAATGATACTCCTGTCTTTGACACCCACCTTCACATGCTCTCCACCTCCACCCCACCCAGATTTTCATCCGAGGGCCGTTGGGCCACCTTCCTTCCACTGTCCACCAGCACAAAAGCTTTAAATGGCCCTTGGCATGTGGCTCAATGGGGATGGTAGCCTGACCCATCCCCTCCCCAACAACGCCAAAGTTCACTTAAAAAAAGGCAAAAACTCAGTTACTCGCAGTGTCCCGGTTTAACCAGTTGCTACCACATATCTATGCCTTCTGGATGTGGTCATTTGTGCAAATGGCGAAAAATCTCACATTTCACCAGGAATCAGAGTAAAAGAAAAAAAAGGCAGATTGTGACGAACAGATTCCAAGTAACTTGACACAGAGAAAAATGCAAGACAAATCTGATTTTGACAATATCAGTTTCCCACTTCCACTTCGTCTTTTAAACACACCTCCTCTGGATTCACATTTGAACCATCTTTAAACATTTAAAGGAGTTTTTAAAGAAAAGCTGCAACACTAAGTCAGAACCAGGTTGAAAGTGAAGACCCATTGAATGGTCCAGTGGCCTCCCCATTATGCCGATAAGTACTATTTATATTTAGAAGAAAGATCACATATATTAATACTCCACAGTTACATTTCTCATAACTTAGCACTTAAAACAAAACTTAGATATGGTGATATTCTTTATTCTTGCCTGTTGTAATGTAGGGAACAGGGTTAGAAAATGTATTTCCATTATCCTTCAAACACAATTTAGGTACATTAATCATTTTAGATGAAATGCAAAGAATCCTACACATTTATTTTTACTATAAATAAAGAAGTTGTAAAACCTTAGAATAAGTTTTTGTCCTTCTTTACCCAGCCCTAAAATACCCGTAGATAAACAAAACACATCTCTTTTAACATGTTTATAAAGAAAGGGATCTAAAGATTTTAAGATTAAGATTATTCTGCAACATTGTTTTCTTCAATGTTCCTTCTCTTTTGCTCAGGTCTGAGAACTGAGGGAACTGGTGAAAGATTTAACAATTGTCTGTCGGAGTGTTTCTCCATTAATTTGTCCACAAGGATAACTTAATCATCTGCAGCTCTAATTGATAATATATTGATTTTTATTTTACTAATCTAATAAATTCTGGTTTATTGCTTAATTATATTTTAAATCATTTTCCAGTATTTCACTTTTTTTACTAATACTTTACAAAGATAAAGTAAATTTAAAATCCCTTGATAAAGAACAAAAATTAAAACAGAATTTTTATACCATTGATTACATCAGGGTTCCGGGTTCACTTCCCGGCCCTGGGTCTTTCTACAAGCTACATGCGTGGGTTCTCTCCTCCCACAGTCCAAAAACATGGCTGTTAGGTTAATTGGTGTGTGAGTGTGTGTGAATGGTTGTGTGCCTCTGTTTTGCCCTGCAATGGACTGGCGACCTGTCCAGGGTGAATTCTCCCTCTTGCCAATAGAGAGGTGGAGGATTACATTAGCTATTTAAAAAAAAATCTTATCTTCTTTTACCAGGAATAAACTACACAAAAAAAATCTGTCATTAGTCCTACTCCTTTTATGTAAATGTAAAACCCTTTATTGTCACACAAAGGATAAATTAATTCTCTGCATTTTAACCCATCCCCTTAGGGAGCAGTGGGCTGCCATTGTGTGGCGCCTGGGAACAGTGTGGTGTTAAGGGTCTTGCTCAGGGACCAAGAGTGTAGGTTTTGGGGATTGAACCAGGTACTTGCAACCTTCTCAGAGCTGCATTGCTCTAAACACTAGTCGAACACTCCCCTAGTTTTTTTTATTTTTATTGTTGGAGCAATTTTGCCAGAGAACGGTAGCCTGGGTGCCAGTCCGAACTTAGTCCCGCCCACAAGGTTTGAGGTCGGGGAAGTTCGGTCTGGCTCTGCTCCATAGTAGCGCGAGTATTATCGCCCACTGTCAGGCGATCCAATCAAATTGTCAGGGCGGGCTTTATACGATGATGGACAGATGATCAAGAGTAACGTAATCAACCACGTGACCAAAGCGCGCTTGGGTGACAACAATAATGGCTGCCGCTGGAGAGTTTGGGTGAGTAGATTCTGCTATTAGGTCTGTTCTAGAAGATATCGACAGCAAATTAATTTTAAAAGAGGAACAGAGAAACGCGATCAAGTCTCATCTTCTTATTCTAGGCGTGAAACTGCACGCTTTGATTTTTGTTGACAACAACTATGCCTCGCTTAACATACGTCACGCACTCCGTTGGTCTTATTGGTTGTAGGTCTATCCAATTGAGTGCAGAGGCATTTTTTTCCTGGTTCGTTCGAAACACGCCCCATAATCACAGCTCTATGGAGCAGTATCAGACTCATATTCTGACTAGAATTCAGTCGGACTACGTCAGGCTAAGAGAACGGACCAGCATGGTCGGTAATACTGCATCTAAAAGAGATAGTGGAGTTAGTTGTCGCCAAAGTCCTCACAGATGGAACCATAAGTTATCTTGAGGCCAAGATCTAGAATCACCAGCTGCTCTATCTTTGTCAACCTTATTGACATGCATGCATGTTTGTTAACAAAATCTGTTTCTGCTCTTGAAGTAAATACGATTAAGTTGATAAAATCAATTCATTTTTCATGGGGTCATTTAAATGTTATGAGTTAGTTTAACATAACTTAATTAAATGCAGGAACAAATATAGGTTAAAATTAATTAGATTTTATGAAGTTGATATTCAAATGATATTCAGATTTGGTGTATGTATTCATTTCCCATCAAAAGTATAACAAAAAAAAAAATTTGTGTTAAACGGACTCAATAAAATGACACCATACAGATAAATATGGATTTGGTTCAGCAAGCAAAAATGTAGTTGATGGAAAAACTGCCATCAATAAAATTTTTAAAGTTAATCCAATGAGTCATTTATGAGTGAATGAAAGGAAAACACAAGGAAGAAGGACAGAATAAATGATAAACCTTCAGACTGTGTAAGAAACTGTAAACAAATACAAGCACAAAATGACCATCCTCAGTTTTCTCCACATGTGGTAAAAAGTTTTATTTTCACTCTTTAGTCTGCATGTACAAATATCTATAAAAAGTGAACATTCTCACTCTTATGTACATTTTGCAGCACATGGTTAGTTTGAAACCAAAGAATGGAGAAAAGAAACACTACAGGATCATTATGATTGCCAGTGAAACATCTACAGGTACAGCTAATCTCAGATTTCATTCCAGTGCTTGGAGCCCCCCCCCCCATCAGTGACAAGATGCACGACACGGAGGTGGAACAATTCATCGAAGCTTCGCCAGGACTTAAGCAGTAGAGTCAAACCATGCAAGACAGCATTAGCTACTTCATATTCACCCATATTACTATATTTATACTTTATCATCTTAAAATCTTCATGTGCAGCCTACAGGACAGAAAAATACACAAGCAACACCAGCAGCAGGTACAGTTCAGCAACCATTTTCTAAAATATTATTAAAGAAAACAGAAATATGAAATCAGTTAAATCAAAGTTAGAGTTTGCGTCTGTTTTAGTTTAATGTATTGTTATGTATATGTTAAAAAAAAAGAACAAAAATATATATATATATTATATATATATTATATGTTATATATTATCTGTTATAGTACTCTTTGGAAGTAGCTGCAAAAATAAAAACACAAACTCAGAATCAAACACTAAAACAGAACCAAACACTAACACTAGCTTGACTTAGACTTAAATCAACAAATATTAAATTAAAAGAAGGAGGGACAGAAATAAATTAACAAGGAACCCATTATACATCAGTAGCATTAAAAAGCCAATATGGGCCAATATTTTAAAAGGCGGAAGATAAAACAATCATTTCGACAACATCATTCTTGGTTTCCATGCAGGCAGAGAGGAAAAGAGGAACTTTCTTGCAGAGAAATTTCTATGTATGTGTGAGTGTTTCCGTGGTGTTGATCGTTCACTTAGGAGTCTCCTGATATTCTGGAGGTGAATCGTCAAACAGAGGATTTTTCACTTCCATCTCACCGGTCTGGGGACAGAGAGACGTGGCATTAAAAAAAAAAGACAAACACAACAACAATCAGAAACAATTTTACAGTATTCAGGTGTCAGCGAGCTCACCGGGGCGAGTCCAGGGCACTCATATACTGTGAAGCCTCCTGCCACTTCTTCCTCATCTGATGTGGCCTCAGTGTCAACACCTTTTTGTTCTGGTTTGTGGCTGAATTAAAAACACAAATTTTCAGCTAAAGCAATAAGATAAAAAGATTGGAAGAGACAAGAACAGGAAACTTACTTTCCCATTGATATCATCTGCTGTTTTTGGTGCTGATAGTGATACATCTGAGCACTCTGAGCCAGAGTCTTATCCCCCATCTGGGGACAAAACAGAGAAAGAGGTGTAAATTATGCTCAAATGTAAATGTAGGTACATAAACGTTTCTGCAGAAGTGTGAAATGGAATAAACAAAACAAAAACAGCACTTACAGAACTGTTAGCTTTGGTGTTGGGAAGGCTTGGTCCTTTGAAAGCAGGATAATCCACTTTCTCTGCTAGATGCGAGTCTGTTCGCAGCCTGTAGGGGGAGTCATGATCAGCCTTTGACTTTAAAGGGATAGTTCGGTATTTTTGACATGAATCTGTATGGCATCCCGATCACCAGCGGCATGCAATCACACTGACTTACCCCTGGCAGCGTCCTGTGAGCAGAGTTATCGTCCAGTTTTGGTCAAGCCGAAAGTAGTCCTGCAGGTTTTTAGGAACAGCGAAATAAAACTTTTCTCTTCCCAAAACATTATGTGTCCAAAAGAGTGATATTTTCGCATCCCAAAAACATTGTAGTGGAAAAAGTCACACGTCGTTATCAATTGGTCCTATTTTCTCTCTGTTCGTATCAGTGCGCGCCGTCATTCAGACAGCGAGCCCAACAACAGCCATGTCTCCCTCCGCGGCGGAAGGAGACATGGCTGTTGTTGGGCTCGCTGTCTGAATGACGGCGCGCACTGATACGAACAGAGAGAAAATAGGACCAATTGATAACGACGTGTGACTTTTTCCACTACAATGTTTTTGGGATGCGAAAATATCACTCTTTTGGACACATAATGTTTTGGGAAGAGAAAAGTTTTATTTCGCTGTTCCTAAAAACCTGCAGGACTACTTTCGGCTTGACCAAAACTGGACGATAACTCTGCTCACAGGACGCTGCCAGGGGTAAGTCAGTGTGATTGCATGCCGCTGGTGATCGGGATGCCATACAGATTCATGTCAAAAATACCAAACTATCCCTTTAATTAATTCAAATAAGACTCAACATGCACATACTGTCTTTCAAATTACACATATTTAAAGGACAGAAATAGTGGAATTTTACTTTAATAAGGTTTTAGATACATTTTCAATCCCTATAGTTGAAAGTATAGATTAAAATTATAATTTTTTCAATTTACATAAAGATTTATTTTCATCCAAACAATTATAATAATAAATTGATTAAATTCAAAATCTGGTTGGAATACATAAAAAGTTTAAACTGAAATTCACATTTTTTTCTCCTGACAATTTTGAACCTCAATAGAAAATACTAGTTGAAAAAGAGATCAAGGTTTCAAGCACAGTTGGTTGCAATGTGCATAATTACCAGCAGAAGTCACTAAAATCATTGCCGATGAAAACAGAAGATTTAATTTTTATATTTAACTTATTGATTGAATGATTGACTTTATTTATGTCACAGTGGAGAAATGTACCCATTACATAAGCTCAAAGGAGAAGAAGAAGGCATAGGCAAGTGCATGGGATATATAAAGTGTATTTCCACATATTTTATAAAAACAAAATTCTAAATACTTGTGCTGATTTAAAGATTAAAAATCTACTAGAGAAATGTATATATTAAATCTGTTTAAAACATTAATTAATAAATAAATACAGCTAAATTTAAAATACCTATTATTATTGTATGACTGTGGATAATTTTATGCAAATGTGCAAAATAAATCAGCATAAACAGAGAATTATCTTTTGTGCTGTTAGTAAAACATATTGAGCCTTATATTGCTCAAAACAAACATAGAGCCTCCAGGTCAGGTGAGAAATTTGCATCCATGCATTGTGTGTGCATTCATTTCATACTGAATTTCTCTTTTGTTTGTATTTCAGGATGGTTCAACAATAATGGCTTTTAAGAACAAAAAAAATTGAACTTCTTGAAGACTATTTGTGGTGGACAAATAGTTTCGGAGAGGATTTTGACTAAATTCCGTTGTATTCAAGGCGCACATGCTATGTTATGCATGTGTGCAAATTTTTAGCAAATCTTTAAATTAAAGGTTTTCATAAAATCATTATTATCCTGCTTTATGACTTCAGTGATAAAAATAAGAAAAAAACACAACAAAAAAAACAAATAAACTTATAAAGACACTTTTTAAAATTTAATAAAAAAATATAAAGCACCATATAATTTTACAACATCAAGGTTTGCTTTAAGAAACATCCAAACACTATACGTCCAACAGCAGCAAAAACATCCCATCCTGTTTCTGCATTGCTGCCTTTATACTTACTTGACATAACAGACAGAAGCCAAGATCACAGCCACGGTGCCCACAATAACACACAGTGAGATTACAACTGCAGAAAAATAAACAAAGAAGGAGATTTGAGATTCAAAGGTCTGAATACAGGCTTTATAAATTGTTTTGTGTTTGATTCTCCTGCCATTTTATGCTCAAATCTAACTGAGAATTATTGTCATCTATAAAAGGTATTTTTGGCTAAATCTGTCACATTAAAGTGTTTGATTAACGCTACATTAAAACCAGGCTTAATTAACATTATATGCTAGTAAGAGTGAGAAAACGTCACTCACTGACAAAGATGGTGTCATTATCAGGATGGTGCACAATTAAAGGACCATAGCGGCCATCAGCTCCGGTGACCCTAGGCTCAGGGCGAAGCGTGTTAGGAGAGGCGGTTCCAGCGGGGACTGGAACTGCTGTGGTGCTATGTGGGATTTTCCCCGACTGTTGGTCCTGGTTCCGGGATCTCTGTTCAGATGTCCCTGTCCTGCTGTCCTTAGGATCCGAATGGGAAGAACTGGAGGCTGGAGGCAGAAGGTGATAAACAAGAGACCGAATTAACAAAGAGGAAGGAAATTTCCTCAACTGAGGAAACGAGAGTGAAAGAGCAAAGCAAATGTCACTTTGGTGATTTTGATGCTAACTTCTTACCAGTTTTTTGCAGTTGAATTTTAGTTGTTTTAACGTTCGACTCTTCCTGCTTTTCTATAAAGGAGTGAAGGAAATCTATTTCTTCTTCCTGATCAGTGAAGGTCGTCACTTTGCCTAAGCAACAGCAAAACAAAAAGCAGAACAACAGACCCTTCCATTATTACAATACATTAAGGACAGGATATGCTTCAAAAAACTGGATGCACATTCATTTGATTTCTTTGGCACTGATGCAGCTCGTGAGATTAAAATATATCAATTGGAAACATAGCTCTGAGTGCTGAGGTCAATAACAACATGAAGGAACGAGATAAATACAACCACATTTACATATTTGGGTCTGGGGCCCCTTCATCCTAGGTCCCCTGAGCAGTTTCAAATCCCAGTGGAAAACTACCACATTATATTCCCATTCCTCCCACCAGTGGAAGGAAACTTACTAATCTTTATCTACTTCCAACTTTAACTGTTGTTTTCCTGTAACGATGAAATCTCTTTACATATTAGTTAGAAATCCAAAATAAAATGTATTTTAACCTTTGCTCAGCAACAGAAAACCAATTAACCAAGTAAATAAATTATGAACTTTAAATCATTCAAGAGGTTTTGATATTTTGGGTCTAATACTAGAGTTTTTTTTTTTAATCTAGTTATTAATTCAAATATTTTTAGCCATTTTCTATTTGTCAATTAGAGTTCATGATCATACATATATTTTTTGTTTATAGTAGTTTCGAGTTGTTAATACAAAAGGTAGTGGATTTATTTCCCTATGGTGATTTTAGATCTTGATACAAACACTTGTCTGTTTATTTATTTTATTGCTTTTTGTTATTCTTTTACAAATTGAAATGAATAATAATCAATTGAAAAATGTCCGTTCATATTGTAGCAAATGGTTGTTTTAATTTCACTGCAGAGGATCAAGCATCATCCTGTCCGATGTATGCTAACATTCACTGGATTTTAGACCAAATAGTGTTTTTTTTAGACCACAATAGCGATACTTGTCATTTTAAAATATTCATAACAACGTGAAGTAAAATGTATTACGTAAAAAAGAAAACACAAAAAGGTTATACCAATATAACTTTAGATAACAGTTGAGCTTTCGTTTATCTGAGACTGAATATTTACCAAATAATATAAAACTGTTACATATTTAAAAATAAAAACAAGCAAACACAACAGCTTGACAACAAATCACCAACATGGGAGTTGGCTTGGAGCTCATCTGCCTGGCTGTGTATTTCCTGGACTCACACCGAGCCTGGTTCTGCTGGAGGTTTCTTCCTGTCAAAAGTAAGTTTTTCCTCTCCACTGTCGCTACAACCATGCTTAGTGTGAGGGATTGCATTCGAGTCAATGAGTTGATGCAATCAACTGGTTTTCCTTATATAGAATACTTTGAATCAATTTGACTGTATGATCTGGTGAACTTTAAAGTGCCTTGAGATGACATGTATTGTGAATTGGCACGATATAAATAAACTGAAAAAACTGAACAAGAAGCAGGAAGTTCTCTGTTAAGAAGCTGTGAATTTGAGCATCAGCTACTGAACAATGTGGCTGAGGGTGAACATCATCTTTAATCTCCTCCTCTGTGTCTAATCAGGAGCTACACCGATCCTTGATTTATCCGATTACAAGATTATCTAGATTTATCCTAACATGGAAAATTCAGCTAAATAGACACTCTGAGAACCCAAACATATGGCTTTAAGCATGCATACATGAATGCACAGGTGGTTTCAGGATCTTCCGTTTAAAATGACAGTCAGGGAGTGTGCCTGTATGTGTTGTTTGTTTGAGTAGCTGGTTAAAAAAAGGCAGACAATACTAAACTGTTGTTAACAGCCCTTAGGGCCAGACAGCGAATCACATTCCTGTGGGACAGCTCCAGGGCGACCGGGGTCCACAGTGTGTGTGTGGCCAGGGGAAGGAGCACTGCAGGGGGCCCCTAGAGCAATCAGCCAAACCTTGGCCTCACTGGGCTTCTCCTGCTGCAGTCTCAATAGACCCCAGAGCCTGCTGGTAATGGAGGTCATCAAAGACTTATTTCCCTCCATAAAGCTTCAAGTGTAAAAATTATTAGCAGAAACAATGGCGAAGGGGAAAGACGTAAAGTTAGAACATAAAAACCCCAAAATCTGTTTGGATTTTTAGAATAAAAGGTTCAGAAATATGCTCCTTTTTTGGAAGTAAAGGGGGGAGTAATCGATCAAGTAACAAATAGATACACCTAGATGACGGTGGCGATTATACAGAGATACTTTCCCTCCAAAAGGCTGGCCATCTGGCTGAGTTAATGTGTATGATATGACATACCAGCACTTTCACTGACTTCTTGTTTTTTCCTTCCCCCCACTAATGGCCATTTAGTACCCTGCATGGCAGGTGTCTGGAGGCGGCATGTACCATCTGTACTTTGCAGGTGGCTGGGAGCGCCAACTGTGCCTGTGTGCTCGCAGCAGAACGTGTGGCCCTGCAGGTTGAACTATAATGAGGTTGTTGATGCTTTGAATGCTTTTAAAATAACAAAGTGGCTGTGCGAAGCTCTCAACTAAGCACTGGTTGTGTGTAAGCATGCACATCAGCCTGATAATGACCTATAGCCAATAGAGAGGAGTCCAGGGGTGGCAGGTAGGTACATCAAACAAACAGGAGGATTGTGGGTTAAACACATGTAAGCCTTTTCAGTTTACCACTTGAAAAACACTCCAATTTCCACCTAAACAGAAAACTATACACACAGACACTGCATTTACACAACTTCTATTGAGATATACAAACATTTACCACTCGCAGCCAACAACAATATATCCTCATGTCATTATAAAGAAAACATGCACTCATCAGTATTTACTGGCAGAACTAATTTTGACCATTTTTCTGCAAAAAAAAACTATTAAAAGTGAAAAAAAAACATGCTGTTATAGGTTTCTGAAACCTACAGAAAATTAAGTAATTACAAGCCTGTCCCGAATATAAAACAAAGTATAAGCCTTTAAACTTAAAAAAAAATACATTGACGTAAATGGTGTTAGGTAACACATTATAGAACTTTTATTAATTTGACTTATAATAAGAATATTTTAAGCGAATATAATAAAAAATTCTTTAACAGATTTGATAGGTGCATCTGTACCTCATATATTGACAATATTTAACACATAAATATCTTATTATAATGCTTTGAAATAAGACTTTGTAATATTGTGGTCGTAATCTCTCTCTAAGTCAGACAATCTGATATAAATGAAGCGGAATGTTCTAGCATCTTCCAGCCTATCAGACATTAATTAAGGCTGAACTGTGTTACTCTTTCAGGTACCATGACATCTTAACAGCTTTATTTCCTCATGCATGTCTCATAAAATGTAAAATAAGCAACACAAATACTGTGGTAAATATTTAAAATACAGCTTTATCAAATAAATACCTACTTATATGATAAATATTTCTTAAAAGCTCGATAGTTTTAGTTCAGTGTAAAGTTTTCTGTTTAGGTGGGAATGTGAGTGTGTTTCGAGTGGAAGACGGTCAGATGAAAATCAATTCAAAATTAACAAAAAAATTAAGCCAATCATTTATTTTTATTAGCAAAAAGAAAGAATAGTTGCGTTTCACTCTGCATCACCCCTCTCTATTCCCTTTGGTGTTTTGCTGCCACCTGGTGGGAATATAGGGAACAAGCAATTTTTGTTATGTTTTTTTTCTTTGGGTTATTTGCTGGATTTTACCACAACAGAATGGTACTGGTTGATTTGTAAAAAAAAATATTAAAGGTTGTACATCAAAACCATTTAAACCGAAAACAAAACATATACTTCTAAATATTGGGATATATATCAGTTGTTTATTTATGCTCGTGTTGATGAATAGCTACTAACATACCAAAGTTTAGCTCCTAAAAAAGTTAAAGTAGAAGTACAGAGATGAAAACTAAAATAAAAGATAATAGAAATATTATTTCCATGTCAGGTCCCACGCAATCATGGTGAAAGGAGTGACTTAATAGTTATCAAGTAGTTTCTGACACTGTGCACAAATAGGATAAGCTACAGAAGGCCATTGCTAGAGAAACGGGCTGTTTACAGAGCATTGTATCAGATCATTGGAAAGTTTGATGGAAGGAAAAACAGTGATGGATAACAGGTGCACAAATTACATGAATGGCTGCAGCCTTAGGGTGATTGTGATGAAAAATCCATCCATATTACGCAAGAAATGTTTAAACCTACAGCAAAACAAAAGAAATTGAGACATTTTTTAAACTGGCTAATTCAGGAAAATTACTTTCAGTGGTATGTGATCAGTGGTTCAGAGTAAATTAAGGCCCTTTATTCAGAAGAAAGTGCAGAAAAGCACAGATTTGGATGAGAGTAAAGCATCCAATTAGTGATTTATTTTTGGTTGTGTTATCTGCTGGCGTCGGTCCACACTTTTTTATAAAATAAAATTTTCATGAAGATCCTAATTTTCTTTTCATCCGGTAGTATTCATTACCTGCACAAGTCCAACTTTTCAGTGTATTTCACACTCATTTGGATGTATCTTTACCCTATTTCCAGTTTCTCTGCAGAAAATGTCTACAAAACCATGAAGTTAAATAGAAATGAAACCTACCTTTAGTCCTTAATGTATTTTAGGTTTAAAGTGAAAAAGTGGCGCACCATATAACGAAATGTGCTACTTGGCAGAAGAGAGTGCCATACATCTATTTTAGTGTCCCACATGCTGAATAAAGCTAGGCTAAGCTGAGTGCACAGCTCTGCATGAATGAATGCAATCCAATAGCTTAACCAGCCTAAAAGCTACTGTTTTACAAAATTACTACACCTTTCTGGAAAAACCAAGAGTGAAAGGACGGATAGATGGATGGATTAATGAATGGATGGATTGATCATTACAAAGATTCAGTAGGAGTCCTGATCAAATCCTTAACTTAATATCAATACCTTCTATAGGCAGCCTCAGGGAAACTAACGAGACAACACAAATTAAATGACTGAATGAAACATAAACACACAATACATGACTGGAATAAATTTCCCAACTCAGAAAACAATCAAGAACAAATATCAGCAAAGGCCTAAAAGTCTTGCACTTCT